GGGGGGGAGGAAGCGAGGAGGCAGTAGGGAGTTACTGGACCATTTGGGATAGCATTTTTCATTGTTTCATTCATTTGAAATTCCCTGAATTAGTCTGGTTTTTGAAGATGAGGGGATGTGCAAGATGAATTGCAGAGATAACCTCGAATGGAAATTGTGCAGTATGTTACTTTTGTTTTCATCCTAAAATATTGCTGTCAGAACTGAGGAGCGACAGTGGAAGGGCGTATTATATTTGCTTGCTTGCGATCATTTTGTAAATGTTGGAAAATTTTCATTTCCAAGCTGCAATTTATAAAACTGTTTTACTTTTTTTCTGTTCGAAAAGAGTCCAATGCTTTTCTTCCTCCAAGTTTTTCGAAGTAAGTATGCGTCATTTATTATCGCGTGTGTCGTTGTTGGATTATAATTAGTAATATTATTTTAAAATGTAAAATAATTTGTTTTTTTTTTGTAATTTTCGTTCATGTTCAGATTTTTTATTTCCACACAAAGCAAAATACAGTGTTTATCATTTGTTTACATTTATCAAGCAGAAAAACAAATCTATGCAGAAAACACTTAATTACAGTGAAGAGTGCGAACGCCCGAATGACATTAATGTTTCTTGGAGTAACCGTTGCAGAGTTCTTTACATTTGCAAGACTGGTTTTATTACTTCCTAAGCAAACTGATTTCACTGAAGTAGATTTATGTAGAGAAAATCACCCTTGAACAAAGGATGGTGTGGATTCTCAGAATCAGTAACCACGATTGACGTGTAAGTTTTGAGTATCATTGCGATATGTTCGGGACCTCAATGTCGGTGTGTTATGTAAGGTGAATGATGCCACAATGCTTTATGCTGAAGCAACGGGGAAACAATTAAGTGATAAGTTTTGCTCCCATCACGACAATTAGTTACAAGCTGTCATGGTTCGAATGAATTGATTGCTGACTCTTGCTCGTCTATGCTAAAAAAGCTGTGCTTATCAGGCGGATGATCAACAGCAATATGCGTGCTTTCTATCAGATCACGAACATCAACGATCACTTCTGCTCTATTTGAATTCGAGAGGAATATCTGAAACATTTCGATCATTCGCAGATTCGATCACTTGCACTGATTAATTGTGTTGGAATGTACGCTATGTGTCTGTGTTTTTTAGTAGATCAGTTGGCAAACAGTTTCCTGCTAATTTGGAAATGGAACTTTATTGTGTAAAAATACTCTTTATTTATCAAAGATAACCAAATGTTAACATATATTTTACTGCTAATTGACTTATGTATGAATTATGTGATAAAACAGAAGTATCTGCCTCAGTAGTAAACTGAAGTGAACTTTTCAAAGGGAAAAGATATTGTTGTGCCGATTGTTACTGACTGATATGAGGTGGTACTTGCAAAATGTTATCATCGGAAGATGTACAACTGGTCAATTCTTGACCTTCATAAGCTTTCCAAATCATACGCATATTGGATTTCCGTTTTGTTATGCTTGTCTGATGTAGTAAAATTCCTTCGATGCTTGAAAAATTCAACAATACATGACAATTTCCTGTTCATTTTTGCATATAGTATGTTAACTGTCTGGAACTGTAATACATTTTTTTCCTTACGTTTGGCAATAAAAATTTTAAAAGAAGCTAATTCATATTCATACCTGCGACACTTCCGCCACGCAATTCAGTTGAAGGATTTCCCAGCCTATTTCATGGTTAAATGCTTCAATTAACCATCGATGAGAATCATACAATGGTTGCAGATAGGTTCTTAGTAAATAAATGTCGTTATGATTCTGCAATTTGATGGTTAATAGAATTAGCTTCTCTTAAGATTTCTACTGTGAAACATAAAAAAAATGCATTACAATATCAGACAATTAATCAACCCAACAATATGTAAAAATCAACAGGAAATCGTTTTACTTTATCATATGTAGAGTTGGAATTTTCTCATTCAGTTAATATAGTAATTAAATTATTAATTGATTTACGATTAATGGAGCTTTACTCTATCATATATTTTGCAATTAAGTTATACTTAGGTTTTACTCAAGCAATACTTTGTTTATTTGAGAATTCCTGCATTTCACTTCACTTGCCGATAGGTTTTGAAGTGATAACTGACCCTATCAATCCGTGCAGAGCTGGAATTTCCTCATTTAATTAATTAACAAAGTTTATAAGATTCTTTGGTAAACACGAAAGATGAGTTCCGCAATACAAGAAGTGATTTCACAGTTCGCAAAAAAAGATTCAACTCCAGGCAAAATGTCTCGTGTTTGATCCATGTAAGGTATTCGTAAGCATATGGTTTTTTATCACGGATGCTTTCAAACAATATGTATTCTGCACTCATTCTTGTCATAGTACTTGAAAGTTCTGAAATTAATATTAATGAGAGCTCAGAGAATGGATGGTAAAATTTGATATTATAATGTGTCTGTCATTAAGATGGAGTGTCTTGAAAATTGCTAATTTCAACTAAGTTGGACGATTTTGAGAGTACTGAAAGGCAAGAGCAAAAAAATAACTTAAAGATAAAACCGGAACTGGAATATAGATCACAAACTCATCCGTTTCGTAGGTATTCTTCTACAATAAACTCGCTGTCATATTCATTTTCAATTTCCAGTTCATTCTGAAATGAATTAATGGTTTATTAGTATGCTTGTTGTACAATTAAAGTTTTGTCAATGTTTCGATCTAAATTATTTGTTTAATTTTTTTGAAGAATTTTTTTAATGAAAACATTTGTGAAAAAGCGAAATTCCTTTATCTTCTTGCAATTTTTATCCAATCAGAATAGTTAATGGTGGAAACTTAGCAGAAGTCCCTCAACACCCAATTCAAACCTCAAATGAGAGAATAATTGTTGGAAAAAGTTAGGATTAAATGGAAATTAAGAAGCTATTTTAGTTGAACTGAAAGTAATATCAAAACATTAAGTTCAATTTCAGTGGATAAAAGTACAAATAAAAGAAATAAACTAATTGAGTGCTTTGTTCTTGTAAACTTTCCAATAAACAATTGCTTTTTTAGCAAAATTTTTATACTTGAAGTGTCTGTGACAATCGCTGGAATAAATATCTAAATTTTCAACCTAATTTTGATCATTGTATTGTAGTTCAGCCTCAAAAGTAACAATGATTCGTTCAGTTAAGCTGTAATTCGAGACAATTTCCCGAACTTTTTCTATCAACAATGCGAAGCAATAATTACGTTAACCAAATATTGATTGAATTTGACAGTGGACATCAACGTTACAACAAAAAGAGAATGAAATTTCATTTATAGCTGAGAATAAACTTCGGAATATTTGATTTGAAAGGAAAAACGTTCCCATATTGGTGTAGAAAAGTACCAACGAGTTTTACTGGATGATTAAACCATTGCAGATTTCTGATTTTGATGATAATAATAATTAACCATTACTTTTCATTCCACCATTTATATTCATTGTTTGTCTAACTACAAAATATGCATAATTAAAGTTCCAAAAAATTTTTTGCACCAAAATTTCTTGTCTTATTAAAAATATTTTGAAAACATTGAACAGGAAAAGTAATTTGACTTACCATGTATTATCACCAATCAAGTTTTCTGGTCCAACAGCAATTACTTCGAAATTGGATCTGTAGTTGGCTTACAATAACATGAAAATTCAAACGGTGACGCCAAAGTATAATTACCAGTATTGTCATTCAGGACGGGTTCAATCGATTGTCGAAACGACAATTCATTCTTTGTTTTTCAGTTGTTCATTTCATTGATTCTTTCAATTAAGCATTTCTTTTCTGAAACAATAAGCAGTTCTTTTCTTCCTTGCCAATCATGATGTCAATATTAGTGAAGACTGAATTTCCCTAATACTTTAACAGAAGGAAATGGTAATTTCCCTTTTGCGAGAAGAAAGTTAAGCCATCGTTACATTAGAATTGACGTTTTAAACGGAAATACGACATACGTTCTTCCCACAGGTACGATCAGTGGAAAGCATTTCCGCACATTATAGTTATGATCAATGGTATTAGAAGCAGATTAGCTACATCCAGCTAATATGCCACTACTTACTTTTATGAATAAATTAACCGGAGCCCTTTAACTTAATTGTGTTCCTACCGCCTAATGCGGAAAAGGTCAGATTACTATTATAGTTTTTTTCTATTTGTTTCTTAATCAAAATTTGTTGATTATCGATTTTTTTTCATCTTTTTCTACTTTGTGAATAAACTGAAAAACTGAGAGTAAATTACTATTAGTTGAAAACATGAAGATATTGCGATTTGCTTAAAGTGGAGTTGAGTTTAAAAAAAAAGTGACATTTCAAGAATGATAAAGCGATAGTTCTAATTTTGCTTCTTTTCTGAAATCATTTTATTTTTAATTTTTCAGACAGTAAAAAAATGATTTTAAATACTCCCTTATTTCCTCTTGTCTAAATTCTCCTTATAAATGAATGATTTCTTCGGATTATGAAATGATATTTCTTAATCGATGATCCTTTCTGGAAGTAAAAATTATCTAAGAGATTTGATCGTCGAATTTCCGTCGAACTATTTTCATGGAAAAATGGGAAGCAATACTTGAAATTTCCTTTTTAAAAATAACCGTATATTTCAAGCTTAAATATTGTTTTTCTTGATTTTATAACACAATTTACATCACAATTTATAACCTTATACGTATTTTTAATTACTTCTCGAAAGTGTTCAGAGATATGAATCAATTAGCTCAAGGTATATTTTAAGCTATATTCCTAATTAAAAAATAATGTCATGATGAGCCAGAACTGAGATTTGGCTGAGATTTGAAGCAAAGGTGAATTTATGAGTATTTTTATAATTAATTACTAGAAAACTTCGGAAATTATCAAGATGCACTTCATATTTTCTGATATGTAGGAAAGTATGCAATAATGGTCTAATCGATAAAGAAAAGCATAGATCCAGAAGCTCCTGATCCATTTCAAGGTCCAGAAAAGTCAGTTACTAATATTCATTTTAATTTTCTCCTCACTACTTCCACTATGATCTGTCTTAATTTTATATCTCTACAGTCTCCGGATATTAAATTTAATGAAACATATAAAGAAGTATCGTTAGAAAACGACAAAAAATACGTCTTCTGGAAAGTTATAAAACGGTTGTCATGTAATTGTTACTACTTAATCACAGCAGAGCAAGGATATTGGTGAAAATGTTTCGTGAAAAGTGTCTGTTTACAAATGTGGTTAACTCATTTCACTTTTATATTTCATACTAGCAATTCCATTTATCTTTTAGGGTACAAATCTGGGAAATTCTAATTTAAAAACAGAATTAGCCGAACGAAACTGTTTGAGAAACTTGTAAGAATGAAAATAGTTTAAAATCCTAAAAGATGGAAGTGACGGGGAACTTTTATAATGAATGCACCAAGATTTGTTGCTTACCAAAATTTCTCGTAAAAAGTTGTGAAAGAACCCTCTTTTTTAAAGAGGAAATGAAAAAATTATGATAAAAACTTATGGATATTTTTTTAATTTTATAAACCTTAGCACATTTTTGAGGTGCAATATCAGAAATAAAGCAAATGTCATAGCAAGGATGAACGGAAAATTAAAAACACATCACAGCTACTTTTATCCTTTTTCCTCTTCTACAAACCTTTATTGACCATCATCAGATTAGTTAATTGATATTATCAGGGATTAAAATGTTATCAGGTTATCTAGCACAGCATGTTACAAAGTTCGTAATACCGCATCATCAATATGATAATTTAATTTCTCTCCCCCCTTTTACCACAATTTTTCTTTTTTTTTTGAAAAAAAAAGAACATTCTGGACGTTTACGTCTTCATTGAAAAATTGGCAAATCATATTGGTATATGATAAGAAGTAAACTTCATTGAAATGGCAAGAAAAATGAATTTCCAAACTTTTTGGAGGTCAAAAACTTGAAATGAAACTGTGAAAACCATGGCTGGAAAGAAATGAACCAAGTCTGAAACCACTGCATTCATTTCCTGTTTTACTTTCTACAGCACAATCGGATGCTATTTTCCCGAATTAAGTAGAAAAACAGGGGCTCCGGTATTATCAATTATTCAAAAATTTTAATGGAATGAAACCAAAAATAACTTAAACTTAATGAAATTTGGACTACATGAATTAGCATTGGCTTGAATAGGCTAAATAATTAATTATTATTGTAGCTTTATTCGAATAAAATTACTCCATTTAAATTAGAATTTTTAAGTGAAGCAGATTTCGAAATTATCCATCTTGATGTCTCTGAATGGTTGAGTAATCAAACTGATTACTGCTACATCAGGTGATCAGAGTGGTTCAAATTAAATTCGAGTTAACTTTGATTTGGTTCTGATGTAGTATTGGTTTTGTCTGAATAAACAACAATATTTCAGGATTGGGTCCATTTCAGGACTTAATTTATCTTTAGACAAAAAATGAGACGTTAAAACAAAGCAAAAAGTGAAAAAACTCTACTAACTTATTTTATTTTGATGAAATTTTCGAGAAGAATCCAAATGAATCACACTGAATCCAATAGTTCCAAAGATAAAAAATTGTAATGTTACGGCAAAAATTAGTTCATGAGAAAATACGGGTATTTTGAGAATTATTTGTTTCCAAATCATACATAATTATGGAGATTTTTCTTAAAAATGAAAAAATCAAAATAACAAAAATTGAGGTTGTCAGACAAATTTCAGCTGCAAACTTTCTGGGAACTAATTCACAAATTCATTATTTTTAAGGTTTAATTCATATAGCAATTAATCTCATTTTTTCATGTTATTTAAAAAAAAAAAAAAAAACGAAAAACAGATACTGTTCTAGATCGATAAATTTTTGAGCAGATGAAATCTAAAAACGGATAAATGAAAATAATCGGAAGTATGGAAATATGAATCACTGAAAGCAACTGACAACATTTTGCTGCTTCTTTTAAAGATAAGAACAAACATCGATGACAATCTTGACAAGGAAACAATCGCAAATTTGAGTGAAGGCGTGTTCAAATAAGGCATACTTTACACTAAGCATCTCATGTGTTTACTAGGAAATGTCGCTAATTTGTCACAAATGACTTATAGCTTATTTGTACGAAAGGAACGCAACAAAATTAATAACAAATTTTAGACTGGACTGGATTCACTTACAAAAGAAATAGAGACAATTATAGGTTGATGCAGCGCTACAATGCATACGACTGATATGCGACGTTCACTCAGAGTTGCATGCGGTAACAGGCGGTAGAACACCTGCAACACTTATGAAAGAAAGCATTAACAATGATTGCCTCAAAAATCAGAACTAACAAAGTAAATGTTAGAAAATTAATATGTAAATGTGCTAATGGAATTTCAAATATTGAAATTAAACGAAGTTAACTCTCAGTTGAGATCAGCACCAATCGATGGATATATTTGACTAAATCATATTTCCATTCCCTATTTAGAGATATTACTTCTCGGATCGTCGCCTGAATCTGTTCCAACATCATCCTTTTTTTCTTCTCTCAATGACCTAGCAAGCAGGGGCAAGGACATTTTGTCCAAATAAAAATGCAGTAAGCGATAATTTAATATTTTGGGTATCAGTTCAGATATTGATAAATGCCATAATGAGAGAATGCATAGCGATTTGTGTCATAGTACACGACCAACAAGAAATTTCCACACGAACTAATTAATATTTAAGAATTTTCAACTTGACGATATTCAAATTTCAAGTAAATTTTTGTTGAAAAAAAGCGGTGTATTACCCTCCATTACATTGTTCTACGACAAGCGGTAGCAGATGATAGATTCGTGGATTTGAGCGCAACATCAGATAGAAATGGTTGAAAATGGAAAAACAAAACATTCAGAGAAAGGTTTCAAGATATTCTCGTGTCAGAACAAATTTTTCTCCATGCAAAGGCTTGGAAACACAATAAGTCTTTGGCAGGTTTTGATTTCCTTCCAAAAATATGTGGTTCCAATCCAGATTTGAAATTAATAACTAACCGAGCATAAATTGAAACTTGACAATTGAACTTTGAATATATCATACTTCTTGTTTTCACTAACAGCTAAACAATGCAACAGATTCATCATCACTTCAAACGGCAATTTCAATAGTGGATGAAGAAGAGGTACGATCTGAAAGTTTTATGCAGCATTTAAAACTATATTTTCAAGTTTTTTTGAGTTTTTTGGCAATGCGCTTGAGTGAACATTACTTTTGCTATTCTTTCCCTTTGACAATTCTTACAAACTTTTGATACACAGGAAAGAGTTGTGATATCAATCTGGCCAAATGATCCCTCTCATTTTATTGGGCATTTTTCTGTCATGAAAAGCTTTACTATAGAAGAATGATAGATAATTTTTAGTTTGCTTAACTTCGGCATGCATTTTACCAGATAGATACCCGTAAAGGGTCTTAACATTTTTGACAATACTTAAATAAAAAGCAAATTCAGGAGAACAGGAAAATTTTGAAAGAAAAGGATTTCAATAGTGTGCAAGGTCAATTATATGTCATCTGCTTTCGAAATTTTTCGACATTTCATTGAATAAGGGTAAGAAAGGGCGCTCCACAGGTTCCCTTAGTACTTTTAGTGCAATTTATAGTCTTTAATAATGTAAATCCAAGAGCTATGCCATATTTTCCTCACTTTTTCTCCGATAAGTTGCAATGACTGAATCAAATTATAATTATAAAGTTCACTTTAAAGCCTGATTACTCAATCAGCATCATTGCTTGCCTTTAAATTATTCTTTGCATTAAGATGCGCAAATTCCGCATTTGTATAATACCAGCGCTTCGTAAATAATAAGAGGTAAATATTTTGAGAAGTGAAGAACTGATCTATTTTAAAGTGAAAAACTGAAAAGCAAAGTACGAATTCCAACTGACTGATTTCAATTTTGACTTTTAATTGATTAATTTCAATTAATAGCTTAAAGAAGCAATGATATTAGTTCAAGGATTAATTATTATACTTTGATGCCACTTTGCAGTACACACGAAAAACATTCAATTTCATCAAGTTTCTTCCAAGTTGTACATTTGTGCAACCTAGCAAATGATGGAATTTCCTTTATGATACTCAATAATCAATGTTATCATGAATTTTGTCATCGCGTTTAGCTCTTTACAGCATTATTCCTGTCCCAATAATTTACATTATTCGTTCTTGCACCGTAGCAAGTTCTGCAAGACTATCATCTTCGTTTTTCTCAATGCTTTGACAATTTTTGATTGATAATTTGGTAATTTGTGTTCACATAGAATATCAGGTCAAAAACTATGTGACACTTACATGCTTAATTCTACATGCTAATTTTAGAAGCGTTTTCATTTGCAGGAATAATGCAATGCGGTTTGTGCATATATATTTGCATTTATATAATAATGATAGTTGTTGGAGGAGCAAATGTCCGAAACTGTTCGGCGGATGACTATCTTCCAGTTTGGATGATGGTTTACGGATGTACTGGTATTACGGTCGGATTCGTTTTCAATTATTTTAGATTCCCCGCGCTTTGGCTTTTTTTACTTATCGCATCTGTTATTGGTTTGTTCTTTTACAGCACTCATCGATGAATAATTTATGCTGTCTACAGTTTTTTTTTTTGTCATTAAGTCTGAACGTAATGTCCTCAAGAAGACGAAAACCTGTTGTTGTACTAAGAAAAAGTTTGGAATAAAATTACTAACTTGAAGCTTTATGAAAACATCGAGAAAAGTTGTAAGAATTTGTGAACTGATAGGCTTTTTGAATTGCTTTTTTCCGTCAAATTAAAGAAAGATAAAATTGCCTGTAAGTTTTAAAATCACTTGGTCAGTTTGTCTTACTAAAAAGATTCGTATAAATTTTACAACAAATATTACATTCAACTGCAGAATTTCCAGGGGCAACACGGCTATATCCAATTTTCACAAAAGTTCAGCACACTGACAATGAAGGACTATTTTACTGTCCCCAATCGGTGTATTTACTATCATTCATGATTGCAACTATCGATCTTCTAATCAGCATAACTGTTTTGTTCTGTTGTGCTTTTTGCGCTCGATCAGTTGCATCTTATTTAATGAAAAATAAAACCAGCTTTTAAGTGAAGCCTTCATCAAGCGTTCATTCATATGGAAGCTAAAAAATATGGAGGTTAATGAGAAGGAAACTTACGTTTTGACAAAATATATGTGTCAGAAAAGTCAGTTTAATTTGAGATTCAGATTTAACATTTGAATTGTTCAGTTCAGTAAACGCTCACTTCATTTATTGATCATTCTGATTTATTACTTAATCAAGAGGCGAAAATGTTAAGCAACCATCAATAGCGTTCCGATTATGGAATTGAATCATTCAGTTTTGCATTAATCGGCTCAATTCTAAAATCTTTCTGAATTCTGGAAAAATTCAATTCAAAATTTAATTTCAAATTGTATATTTCAAAATTATCGTTTCATTAATGAAATATACAATTTTTAGTTGTAAATGAGTGCACATTTGAAAGTATGGCACCATCCATTCTCTGTGATATGCTATTGTTGAAATAGAGCCGACAAAAGGTGCTTGTTAATGGCACATTGTGCTAAATAAACTAAACAAACTGTTTCAAATATATCCCGTCATCGTTTCTTTCGTGATGCATGCACGGAAGGTGTTCTTTCGAAGTTTTCAAAAAAACATCTTATCTGTGACAATCTTCTCGAGACAATTCAGATATAATGTGATGCTTGGAATACTTTTACTGGCACTGTTCGCTCGTTTCTTCGAAGTAAACAAACTCACACAATATAAAGAATTAGAATCATTCAGATCATCCTTACTTCTCTTCTCTCATCCGTTCATTTAGATTACTTGGTTAACAGTGCACTTCAATACTATCATCCATACCATTCCTTCTAAACTACAACTTCAGATTCCCTTCCAAATTAACCCGTTCTCACACAACAAAGTCAATATTGCCTCATTTGGTAACAAAAAAAGTATTGTCGTAGAATTTTTTCGATAATGGGCACAGACAAATAGTTGTAATAAAGGCTTATTAAATGAGGAAGGATTTATTCTTCGTACACGTTGTAAGATAATTATCAAGGAATATCACAGGTAGAGTCGATCATTAGGTTTTCTGTTTTGTTGTCGGTGGTTTAGCAGGGATTTGAGAAGGTAGATATGATAGCGTCGAGATGCAATGTTAACCAAATAATCTAAGTGAATGGATGAGAGAAGAGAAGTTAGGAATGAATTTAAATCTTTATACAATTAGAGTTTGTTCAAAAAACACTCCAATAGAAGATGCAGTTCGAGAAACCATTCATCATTTTAAAATCCATACATCCCTTTAATTATTATTCGTTCAAATTGTATTGTGAATCTTGCAAAATATTCTAAACTAAAAATTTCTATGTTTTCAGTTATTCCTATAATACAAAAATATTTCGGTTATTCAGAGAAGTACTGACAACAAATTGAGATAAGTTGAAAAGGCATTGTACTTGCTAAATGAGCCATTTCGAAAATACCGAAAGCGCCATAACAACTAATAGAGTGTAGCCAACATACTGTTGAAGAGAGTGGCAGTTGTTTCGCAAGGTTTTATGACTGTTTTGAACTTGGAAATGAGTTCTTTTTTTTGCACACACTATCGAAATTCATCAATTGGCTCAAAGGTCACACTAAGTCAATAATTTTACTGTTTACTGCATTTGATCGGAAAAGAAAAGTTACTAAAGTCCATTGGAATGATCAATCGGTTCAGAAATATTATAAAAATGAATGACTTGCACCTGATTACTGTTTTAACAAGAACGACTGGAACACAAAACGGATAGCAATCCGGGAATAACATTTCCCATCTTTTAGTATTATTCTATCAGTAATAGTGGAATGCTTCAGATAAATATATTAAAATAAATTCAGATAATAAATAAATAAATTCAGATAATTAATAAAGAGTCTGAATGAAAGCGCAATTTTAGGCACTTTTCATATACTGCAAACAGTACATTGCGACATTCATGATAACAAATCAACTGGAGAAAAAATAACATGATATGTGATATTATTATCGAGTTCTCTTTGAACTTTTTATATACCACTACAAAAAAACATACTATGTGTAAGCCACATTTACTTCTACCAAATGAGGTACGCTTAAGTAAAAATGAACTTCTATGCCAGAAGGAAAATAGAGAATGTAGAATTGAAGGAGAGATAAGATAGCTCAAAAATGTTCTCATTGTTCGTGCAGATATTTGTGGTTTGTATGAGTAATTATATGTTGGCTAAAAAAATTATAAGTAGGGAATTAAGTAGAATAACCTAAAGTAAGCGTAAAGTAAACGAAAAATAAGTAAGGTAAGCGTAAGTAATTCTTTTTTTATAAACCAGTCATTCGTTCTCTCACAACCTCATCAATTCACAAAAACATTTTTCTTTCATTGACAAATCATTCATTCGTTCTCGTTGACATCGATTGTTTCATTTCCATTTCCAATGATATTTCAACCTTTGCCTTATTTGGTTGCGTCATATCAGTTCATATATTCCGTGTTCTTGTAATTATTCTTGCTCTATTCATAAATGTATTGATGTCTGGTAAATACCATGAAATTCGAGAGATGAACTTCCAAATGTATTTTACAAAAAAGAAAAATGATCTAAGATGGGCACGAGACATAAATTTATTAGCTGAACTTTTTATTGATTTATGTAGAACTAAAGAGAGCTTAAAAAAAAAAAAAAAAAAAACTGTTTTGCTTTTCAATCCCTCTGTTGAGAAAATAATGAAAACTTTAAAAATTTTAAAAGTTGCAATATTTATGTTTTCACTTTATAGTAGTTATTAAAATTGATTGTCCGCAACAGTGTCATCAAAAAGTGGAAATAATTGGTAAGACAACGGACGATTATTGCAACGCTCATAATTAGCATTGGCCTGACTGCTGCTAAAATAAAATTTTTGTTGTAGTTGGTCCCTTCTATTGATGGACATTTACCATTCTTTGGAAATCAATGATGGCGGACAACAGTTGGGTAAGGTTATCAACTAGCTAGCAAATACATTAAGAAAGTAGCCGTATGCTTTAGATGCAAAAATTTTTCGACATTTCAGAGATCTTAGACGAAAATCGCGTCAGCTGTTAAACCCATTCACCCTTACTTCCATAGCTTGAGCTCTAACCCTCTTATTCTCCTCAAGACTTGGAAGAGGATATATGCAGTTCATATACTCGTTTCGACATTACCGCCATCATTGACAGCATTACAGCTTCTTTCTTTATATACCAGTATGACGAGTGTTACCATCAATCATTGGAATCGTTTAAATTTTTCTGTCCTTTCCATCCAAGAACAATAATTTTTATACGATATTTCATCAGTTAACTCTTGTTTAACAGCCACGGTCCTATTTTGGGAAATTATGTTATTTCATACTCGTTTACAGAGTCTTTGGTGGCTTTTGAAGATGGCTACTTCTACTTTGCCTGGACTAGCATACTGTCATTCCAAGCAGTAGAACTTTTTCATAGCTTCAACTCATCCTTCTATCAATATATTCTTCTAAATGGATCTTCGACGTCCTACTTCAGTTCTATATTCATTTTCATCATGGCTATATTCATTTGTTATTTTACAAATGTGTCAAGTCAGTCAGTCCTGAATTCAGGAATGTCGAACTGAATAGTTCATCCCTCTAGATAATATACGCATCCACTTAATGCACCTCCTTATAAGGTAAACAATTACGTCCGAAGTGCTGATGTATTACTCGTAATTCATCATGGATTTGCCCAAGGTCAGACTGTCAGCTACATTACTTTTACTCTCTGGAATTGACTATGTATTTTCAGGTAATAATTGAATGAGAAATTCTTCTTTTAAAACTAAATATTTATTTGTTTATACAACTTACTTCAAACTATTTCATTCTAAAAAGTTTAATTTCGGAAAAACTTGCACTGTAGACAAAATATTTTTTCCAACAATACGATCTTTTTTTTGTTTTCTTCTTTTTATGAGAACAAATTTCATTTTCAACTTACAATCGCGTGCTAACTTTCAATCTTTATCCCAAATTCTATCATTAAAATATCGCAAAAGTTGTCATTTAATTCTAGAATAGCTTCCCCATTTATTATTTTCTTAAGCATCTCCAAAAAGTTTTTAAAAAAAGTTTCTCAACTTTCTTGATGTTAGACTTTTGAAAAGCATCTTGTAAGCACTGATTAATGTATACTTCCTAATAAGAATAAATGAAAAGCATCCGATCAAAATCCAGCCATAACTTGATTTTTCAAAATTTAACAATATGAAGAAAAATTAATAATCAGAACAAATTGCCAAGTGTTTTACAAAAATTGGAGCAAGTTTGGTAAAAATTTTCAAATCGAATAAAACTTTTTCAATTCTAAATTTTATGTCAAAAAAAAGAAAACTGCAAAATTTGCCAACATTCATTCATCATTAATAAGAAGTCGTGTTAAAGTCAGTCTTCAAAAGTGTTTTTTGTCAAATAAAAATTCTGGATCCAAACTTCTAAATCCTTTAAACCTCTAATTTAGTTTACAAACATAACAAATAAGTAATCTCCATAAAATGAGTATTGAATTGAATTACCAAACTTTAATGCCTCAAATATTTATTTGAAATATTTATTTAACTGAGCAGTGGCAAATCTAATATTGCTGATTATTAGTTACGTCCTCATTCTGCTGGGAATTCTTATTTGGTCTTTTTGGTACTAAAAAGACTGAGTTTTAAAAAAACTGGAATTTCCAAGAATTTATGAGAAAAGACTCAAGTGTATTTAGCTAAAATTTACAAAAAAAAGGGAAGTTACAGGTATGTTATGCGATTTCGAGTCGAAATGTGATTGGCTTTTCGAGAGTCCAGCATGGAAATACCCACGCGAGCCACGACACAACTTTAAAGTTATTGTTGGTAGTCGTGATTCAAAGCCAAGTACGTTCAATTTGCAAGATTGAAAAATGCTTTGTTTAAGAATAATCCGTTAAATTGACTAGAGTTTAATATTAAAAAATAGATCACAAATAAAAATCCAAAACTAGAAATGGATAAAATTAGTGAAACCAAGTATGAATTTTGATTTTAAGTTCAATTAGTACTAAAAGTAGAGATAATGTAACAAGATAAATATATGACTTGATTAGTATAATAATGGCAGTTTTCAGTGAAATAAGAAGTGAGCAATTAATTTTCAGCTCATTACGCATATTTCAATTTTACTAAAGAACGTGAAGAACCCGCGATGATCATTAGTCCCTATTATCAACATCTGTCCATTCAGGTATCACCATTAAACATTACCTTATAGAGAGTTTCTTTCAAAATTTTTCAGAAGATTTTCAAAACATGTATGGTTTCTGGGATAAATGGTAACAAGTGAGATATGAAATAAATATACAAATATTGTTCGAATATTTATAGTGTGAGCTCCGGTTTATGTTTCGTTTGTTTGGTGATCCGTATGCGACACTAATGGTTACCAGTCAACATCGTGCCTTAAATGAAGCAGCTAATTACGCTGACTTAAATGATTATGAAGACGAGACGGAATGGACAAGACCAACGTTGCATTCCACTTTCAGTGCACAGAATAATTATATTGATTCGTTAGTTAAAGCTTTCAATTATTTAAATGCACAATGTTGACATTACAAGTACATAGGTATAGTTAACCTCTTACACACAATTCCAAAATTCACAACATTTTAAACATAGAACTTTTAAAATTTTGCAAAGTGCTCATTAAGGTCTTTTGCAATTCCGATACATCTTAACTGCATGTTTCAAAAAATTGAAAAAAAATCAGAAAATAAAAATCAAGCTTTGATTCTTATTGTGACAACCTTTTCAAAAAAAGATGACAATCTTTTTACAGAGTGAGCACTCCATATTCTTACTGTTATCCTTGTCAACTTATTTCCTTATTTTTATCAACATTGTTGTGAATTGAACTCCTTTATCCCTTTAAAATTAAAAAAGATTACGACCAATTTTTCTTAATTTTATTCTCTTTAGATTTATAAAATCGTTGACACCCATATTCATCTTATTTTTATTTGTTCATTTTTTACTTTCTAATTTTTAAGTAAAATATATCGGTGTAATCTTTTTTATGAATGCAACGCAAAATACGACTTAGTCTAATATTCAGAAACCTTTCTTAAAATTTTCTTCCCGTCTAAAGAATTTCACAGCGTAGCAAAGATTAACGAATTTCACAAAAAAAATATTTTTTTACCAGAATTTGAAATGTTGCATTTTCTAGGCCAAAATCAATTGAGTCTGTCAGTATCAAAATAAATACCCATCACGCTCTTGTCTTTCATGCAAATCATAATAATGAAATATGAGGCAAATTAACTTATTGTGAACATTTAGCGTCTATCAACATTTGCAAGATGAACAGATTCAGTTGTCCGAGTCGGCTCATGCAAAAGTTCTTAACATATAATCTTCTTTTTTTCTGTTTAATTCAAAAATTTGTTGCTTTTTGCTTCAAGAGAAGTACTGTTGCTTAGAGCTTTTAAACAAGAATTACTTACCTTAATCGTATAATGACTTTTTGCAGTTTCAGGTTTCCATGAAAAGCTTCTTTATATAATTTATCTTAGGGTTACGTTGAGGCTACTGAAGTTGATTTATTCTGAAGATTTGAGCTTCAGTCATTCTCGAGAATGTGCCATTTGCATTGGTTTCCATTTCTAACAATGTTGTTTTCTTCAGTTACTGCCAAAATGACTTAATTATATATTTCAGTGTTTTGAAATGAGCTCTTGTTGTAGATGGAAGAAAGTTAATGTGCACATTGGACACGTCACTCATCCGACCAGAATCAGGATCGAATGTCATTCTAAGGGAAATAGCGCCGTTGCAGAATCAAAAGAAAGCACCGAATGTTACATTGATAATATTGAAATGGTTAAATGTGATGGTATATTTTTCATACTTTTTTTTTAAAAAAAAAATTCTTTTTTGTTTTCAAAATTTAAAAGCTCAAATCTAATCATTGCTATGAAATTTGATTTTTCAGTGTTACATTTACCTTAATGCTTCAGATTTTACCAAATACAGAAATTTTTGAACATTCATATTTTCATGCTTGAAAAAAACTGAACCACAAACTAACAACCATTTTGCAGAGGAGGTGTGGTACGAGAATATATGCCAGTCAAATAAGACTAAAAAATATTTGTGCCATAAATATGATCGTCCAAAGTGCATTGACTATGACCAGTTATGTGATATGACTGTCGACTGTCCCGGAGCTGAGGATGAACAAACCGATTTACACAATTGCAGTATAATTTAAAATTTAAAAAATTTCTTAAAAATAGTTTTTTTTCAGCCCGAATGTTTTAGACAAAATTTTGCTATGAAAATAAATTAAATGAAATGGTGGAAAATATAGCTGATTATTGTTTATTTGTATTAGAAATAAAGAAAAACTTTGCAAAAATAGTTTTCTCCTTTCAAATTACTTTTTTCTTTACAGCAGTACCAATTGATGCTCGTTGTACATTTGAAGATGAAAATGAAGAGAAAACTGGTTGTGTAGGATGGCACCTTGAGACTTACTATGTTCATAACAGTCGAAGAACGAGTGAAAATAAACATCTTTTCATTAGAGTTAATTCAAGTGTTGCGGCAAAGCAATCATCACTGAAGCATGTCCCACTTAGAGATCATACTTTTGAACACAGTAATAATAGCGGTAATAAATTTTACATGTATTATTCTCATCTAATGCTCATCACAAAAATATATTGTTTATTTTTGAAACGTAAAAAAGCTGCTAAAGAATAAACTTTCTTGAAGATTAAAATAATCCTGGAGCAAACAGTTTGTCCATTTACTTTTCAAAATTTTCTTTCTTCAGGTCATTTTTTGTATTTTACGTCGGAAGATGATCTGGAACGAAATAGTTTCACGAATACAAAGTCAACTTATTTAATTTCGCCATATTTTCCTCCAACCACTAATGTGCTCTTCAATTCTGCTGCTCTTCCGTCCAATTCATGCAGGGTATTTTCACATATTTTGGTTGTAGTACTTCATGGAAGCTATGTTAAAACCATTGAATCTAAAAGATATTCTAAATTTATTTTTATTCCTAAATTTTTTAGGTTCGATTTTACTACTGTTCATATGGAAGTGCCATTTCGACGTTACAATTGACAGTGCATCCAATCAACGGACAGCCTCCTAAAATTATCTGGACTCCTCCATCTCTCGCATTCGCTGATCACAATTACTACTGTGATTGGACAAAAGTATCCATAGATTTACCAGAACAGGTCTGTTAATCAAGAAATGGGATTTCTCTACAAATTTTAATTAATCCCTTCCATATTTTAATTAAATCCTTCTTAAATTTAGATTTCTATTCAAGCATCCTTTTCATTCTAATTTCCTTTTTTACCATATCATATCTTTTCACATTTTAAATGTTTTGAGAAATTCCCAATTCTCCTCTGAAATATTTCATTTCGAAAAATTTCTTCATTAAAATGTTTTTCAAACACTTTTTTTCCATTGAAATTTCCAGAAAAGTGAATATTATTTAAAAATGGGTGTGAGCAGGATATTCGACTCATCGATAAGTTTCGCCATTGATGATTTCTCAATGACATCAGATTGTTTCATAAATGGTTTACTTTTCTTTTAAAAAAAAGTTCATTTCCATTTATCAAAAATTTTGACATTTTTCCTTTCTTTAAGTACATCGATATTTTCAACAAATTAGTTTTTTTCTGAATACATTGTTAACGGATTTTTTAAAGAAAATTTCATAATGATACAAACAAGCATAATTTAGAAGAAGTATGGCGTTCTCTATATATACCTTACGTATACAATATAACAAGTTGTGGACAACAAGGAGCTCAACAACCAACATCCGAAAACTGCGATAATTTCTATAATCAAAGGTATATATGTTAATTCTTCCGAAACATTATTAATTACTCAAACTTCAAATGCCGACATTGCTGATAGATAACTGCATTACTATTACTTTCACTGATATGCTGGCAGACACGAATAGTAGTAGTTGGCTTGCAATTTGAGGAATCCTACTTCTCTATCACGACAGTCACAGAATAATAAATCTTGAATTTATGGCATTTGCAAAATTTATAAATAAATTATGGCGTATAATTGTGAAAAGAATTGATTAAGTTTTAAGTTTTTTACTACGAAATTCTTTTAGCACAACAAAAGTGCTGCTGCGGAATAATACTTCCAATGGATTTCAGAAATGGATCGTACCAAAAACCGCAGAGTACAGGTATTTTTCGAATTTTTTTCATCAATTTGAAGAGAAGAAATTTTTCTTTTTGTAGATGAGGATTCAAGGTTTAATTTTTAAAACCTCTTTCTTCCCTTTTTTTTTTTAAAGAATCGAAGCATATGGTGCATCTGGAGGACATCTTGCGCAACAGACAATCAATAATTACGGTGGCCAAGTGATTACCGTACTTAATTTAACACTGGGTGTAGAAGTGAACATTCTGGTAGGACAAATGGGTGAAAGTCCATGTGATCATTTTAAGACACCAACTGATAATATGGCAAGTTAACTTTTCTTATAAATTAGAGGTAGTAACAAACACAGTGTTATTACATATATGATGAAATTAATGAGTAAGAGAATATCCATGGGGTTTCCACAGGGAAAAATTCCCTGTGGAATTCTTAAATTACAGATATTGAAAGGGAAGAATTAATACTTAATCAGTCAATAGCTTGCTCTTAGAGTTAATAAGTCACGCAAAAATTTAAGAATTAATAAAGTTTTCCAGAAGAGTCACCAGTACGAAGTGTTGAAATATTTGTGCAAAAAGGGGAACAGTATATGGAATGATGACGCAGCGATGGCTAATGCCATCATGTTTCCGGGTACTGGTGGTGGCGGTGCAACAGTTGTTAAGTATCAAAACAAGATCATTTTAGTAGCTGGAGGTGGTGGTGGAATATTTCCGGAACAAATTATCCAACTGGAGAAACCAGGAATTAAGTAAGTCTAGAAGTTTTTCAGTTCTAAAAACCGGACTATCGTTACTTAATTTTGTTGGATAATGATTTCCAATACTTTAATTTTATAATTTTATAAAGGAAATGTTCAATCAGTGGAATCGTTTTGGATTAAGTCTTATCTGATTTCTCACAGAGATAAAATTACTATTAATAAATATCTCCCATGCATTCATTCCGTTTCAGTAATTTTGTTCTGCAACCTTGTAGCAGCTTGTATTACTTATCTTAAAAATCTTGAATGTTCTTTTGATTTCTTATTATTTTCAAAGTATTGATTTTCATTTTCTTGGAATTGTAGCCCGAAAGGTGGTTACTTGTTCGAGGCTGATAAAAATTCACCACTCAATAATTTGCATAACCCAAAGCGAGGAATCCTATGGATGTCTGGAGATGGCGCACATCTTATACATGCTGGTGTAAGTTTTAACATAGAGATACTATTCCCCATACTACTCAAGACATACTGAGCACTGTGAATAAGCTTGTTTTGCAGAAAAAAGAAAAGTGTGAACAATGTCATATGATGTCCGGACAGTTGAATAATGCATCCTCTTCTGGAGGTGTATGTCCATTGGTGTCGGTGTGGAAAGTTTTGGGTGGGTATGGAGGTGGCGGTGCATCCTGCGGACCAGGCGGTGGTGGTGGAGCCGGTTATTATGGTGTAGTTTATTTTTTATTTTTTGAAAAATGTTATGAAAATTAATAATAAGTGAATTAATAATATAATAAGACATGTTTGTGTCCTAATGGATGAGTGAACGTCAGAAATTGGCATAAATTTTATGACATTATGGATTTTATAGCCATAATCTGAAAGAAAAATTAGTTTTATCAAATTAATTAACAAAGCAACCAATAAGTGTTGAACTGATTAATAAAATATTTGACAAATTAATAAAGTTTTCAATTGACATTGATTAACAAAATGTTTGTTTTAGGTGGGGAGGGTGGACAAAAATACCACGGTGTTGGTGGAAAAAGTTTTGCGCAATACAAAAGTGCTATCATTAGACCTGGTCTGCTTTTGCTTTTTGTTGTGGATCAAAAATGTATTGTAAAATTTGCATATTTTGCTGTAAACAAGAATTAAGTAAGTAGACAGTGTACAGAATTGACTGAATTTTGGAAAAGTCTAAATTTCGTAAACTCCTTGAGCTTCAGAATAGAACTTCAATCAGTGTTAATTTTTTTGAACACATGAGATTCTATGAACTTATTTTTTTTCTGTTCTTATTTTTAACAAATCAGGTATGAATAGGGGTAACGGTTACGTACTAATTCATCCGTGTCGTTTACGCTGTTCTCCAAATGCGACTTGTCGTTTTCGCTTGGATAGTGCCGATGAAGTTGGCTCTTATTGTGCCTGTCCAGATGGTCAAGTAGTCGGCGAGTTACAAGACTGCTTTTCTGGTGAAAATATCTTGAATATTTTCTTCCAGATTTCTATAAAGATACAATTCTTCAACTGAATTTAAAAAAAAAATCATATACAGTACGATTAATAGATATGTGTTTAGGTAGAATTGAATGTTATCTGGTATTGAAAGAATGTTATCTGATATTGAAACAAAATCATTCTGATATGAACAAAAGCATAAATGCTAAAAAAAATGATAATTCGGTAATTTTTCACTCGATGGAAATTTTGATTTAGAAAAGAAAAAGCAGATGAATGCTGGTCGCAAAGAATCCCTGTTGGTGATGCTCGTTTTTGCATTCGTTTTGTGCATTATCATTCTTCTAAGCGCATTTGGAAGCTTCTGTAATTCTTTTTCTGTCATTTCAAAACTTCTGAATTCATGTGACTCAAATTTGTATATTTTAGAAAAATGATAAGAGTTCAAAGAAAATTGCCTGAAAATTGCTCTAACCTATGTCTTTCGTTTAATTTTAATTTCCCAATGAAATTCTTGGTATTTTTTGTGCTGCATGTTTCCAGCAAAAAATTTATAGAATAGCTGATTGTGATTTTAAGGTGTTTATTTTCGAAGACGATTAAAAAAGGCAAAAAAAGAGAAAGCGGAACTTAATCGTGAAATAGGAATGTGTGCATTGACGCCCAGTACACCAATGAGTATCTCCGGAAATCCTATTTATGAACCATTTGGTCCATGCGCTGAACTTCAACCTATATCACATGCTAACGTTTCTCTAATAAGGTTGATTCCATTGATAAAGATAATTGTTTCTCTATTTTTAAAACTAGAAAACTTCAAGAGAAAACTAAGTAACTGACATCATCCTCACTTCATATTTTTATTTTCTTGTATTAATACTGCGAACACATAAATTAAAAGTTATATCTTGAATCTATGGATTTTGCAGATCTCTTGGACAAGGAGCTTTTGGTGAGGTTTACGAGGGTAAACTAAACTGTGGTACTCAGTTGATTCCGGTTGCAGTGAAAACTTTACCAAAATGGGCATCCAAACAAGCAGTAAACGATTTTGAAATGGAAGCACTTATTATGAGGTGCCGTCAAATTTTTTTTATTTCAATAGAAATTTAAAAAAAATATTGATGGAAATTATTTCATTGTGCAGGGAAAATCAGCAAATCTCGTTGCTTTCACAAAGGCAGAAAGAAATCATAAATTGATTTCCAGTTTATCCTCATTGCTTCAGCAATTAATCTTAAGTTTGCTTAAGTTTACTTTTAATCTTTTAAGCAAATTCCGACACGAAAACATCTGCGAGCTTATGGGAGTGTGTTTTGATGTTACACCGAGACTTATCATTCTCGAACTTCTAGCCGGGGGTGATCTGAAATCTTTTCTTCGCGAGTGTCGTCCAAAAAATGTGAGCACTACTTCGATTTCAGCCCCTTTACAGTTTTTCTTCAATTAAATAACTTTGCCTTTTTTTCTTATTGTCTTTTTTGTCTATTTTCACTTACTTTTTACTTCTTATTGTTTCACACATTTTGTCCGTTTTTTCTTTATCTATTCTTTGCCTTTTAATCTTCAACTTTTCATCACTATGATAATAAATCTTCATTTAAGACAAAAAATCGGATTCAAATGATAGATCTGCTGGATATGGCTCAAGATGTTGCCAAAGGATGTAAATTTCTTGCTGATAATCGTTTTATTCACCGAGATATTGCAGCTAGAAATTGTTTACTAACAAAAAAGGAAGTGGGACGTGTTGTTAAAATAGCCGATTTCGGCATGGCAAGGGATATTTATAGGTTTGTTGTTTTTCGAAAAGTTTTGAGTAGAGATGTGCAGGTTACAAGTACTAGGTAAGACTTTCCTACTTTTAGGGAAATGTACTGGAAACATAATACTATGATTCTAAGGAAATAAAATGAATTTTACACCTAAGCAAATAAACAAACAGTCCTTTAGTCCTGTTTAACCAGATGGATTTAAGGCAAGATTATTACCGAAAAGGTGGTAAAGCAATGTTACCAGTGAAATGGATGCCACCCGAAGCATTTCTTGATGGTATTTTTACAGTAAAAACTGATGTCTGGTCATTCGGCGTATTATTGTGGGAAATTTTTTCTCTTGGATATATGCCATATCCGGGGAGAAGCAATCAGGAAGTGAGTTACTTTTACCTCCATTGATTTTTTAGGTTTTCTTTTGTTTAGAATTGAATTTACAAATTTGAATCAAATTTCTAGGTTATGTCTCTAATTGTGAACGGAGGGCGATTAGAACCACCGAACGGTATACCTGATCAAATTTACACTTTAATGTTGGCTTGTTGGAGTACTGCTGATACTGATCGACCACATTTTGATGACATCATTGAAAATTTGGATTCTATGCTTCAAGTACAAATTCAACTTTTAATTTTATTCTAACAATATGTGAACATCACTTCGTTACAGTTAATGTATTTTTATCGTGAAACTTATCTGCTTCAGATCAAATTCGGTACATCAAATTCCAGTAGTAATTTATATTTAATATTCAAAACAACTGAAAATTGAATTTATTTGGTTAATTTTAGAATCCACTTATGCAAAGCATGCCTTTACCTGTGATCGTTCATCGATTATCACAACCACAGTCTAGTAATTCATCTTTACCGGATAGTCCTTCGGTTACCGAAACGATTTCACAAAATACCTATTCTCAGAATACTATCAATACAATATTGAATTCATATACTGAAGCGGTCCCATCCAATGACTGTGATCCGTTACCCACAAAAGGTTTGTTACGTTTCGCATCGGAAAAATACTGCAATTTACTGTTGCAGTAAATTTCTAAGATATTTACTTATGATCCTTTCTTAAGGCTAAACTTAAAATTTTGTCACAAATCTTGTTATTAAATTTGGCGAGATTTCTTTAGGTGATGGAGTTAAATTTAATGTGTGCACTCCTTATCAACCACAGTCATCCGAGCCGTTTTGTGTCCAAGATGGAACTCAATCTACGCCACTGTCTCATTGGGCTAACGGTCAACTACCAAGTGGAAGCACAGAGACATGTGCTAGCGGTAGCGGTGAACCAGTAAGCAATTGTAATGGTCATGTTTTATCTACGATGACACTGCATGATGCAGTAGCTGGATCTCGTAGACCTGTAGTTGATACGGTTAGTTCACTTTTAGGTTCAACATCTTAAACTTCTGTATGCAATAATCGTAAATTCATTTCAGTCAATTAAGACTAATTACGAGTAAATTAGTCAACAGATGCAGAGGGTATGTTGACTTCTTTAAATATTAAAAAATTTTCATATTTAAATTCTTATTTCTGAATAGATTTCTAAAAAAATTCGTTCACCAGAATTTTAGTAAACTTCTAAACATCTGTAAAAGCATCCGTTTGTTAGAATTTTACTATTTTATATCTGCAGCTTTAGTAATGAAGAGACTGTGTTTCATATATACAACCTTATTTGAGATTTTTAAATCCATTAAATAAGCAGTTGTCATTAGCATCACTTTGAACTTACTAGAATTTATATTTAGCGATTTTAATATACCGGTTATATATATATATATATATATATATATATATATATATATATATATATATAT